AAAAAAAAAAAAAAAAAAAAAAATCACTGGAATGCCAGATCCGAGCCCCCAAACTCAGCTTCCTGCAAACCTAACTGCATGATGTCACGTCTCTCAGGAAGATGAAGAAGTTCATCCGCTACCTGAAGTTGAAGCGGCAGAGCCCCACCCACCACGAGGAGAGCGTGAAGAGGAGGCAGCGGTACGAGGTGGACTACAACCTGGAGCCCTTCGCCGGCCTCACCCCAGAGTACATGGAAATGAGTGAGTGCCAGCTGGGGCAGGTGGGCAACGTCAGGCTAGAAACAGGCCAGCATGCCACTGGAGTGGGGCAGGGCCGCAGGGTGTGATGCCCCCAACCCCGCAGTGCCCAGCGTCCCTCCGGAAGCATCAGGCGGGGAGGAGGGAGATGCAGACCCTGGCATCCAGGTGCCACCCCCTTGGGTCAGCAGGCATGGCTGCTCTGGATGGAGTCCTGTCTTCCAGAGGCCCAGGTCAAGCAGCCGCCATCCCCAGGCATGGTCCTGTCAGCACAGCCCGACCCAGCCTCCGCTGTGCAGGTCTTCCTTCTGCCTCAGTCTCCCACACCAGCCGAGGGCCCAGCCCTGCTAAGCTGCAGGGTCCTGCCTCACTTGGGACCCCCCCCCCCAATCCGAGGTCCCTCCTGTCAGCCCCAGGGCCTTCAAGCACGGACTTTGGGTCTGTGAATCATCTCTGCTTCCCGACGGTGAGCTCCTGAGCTGCCGGAGCCAGGACTTGCTTACCTGTGGGATGGCTACAGCTGCCCCCAGCACAGAGCAGGTGCTCAAAGGAGACCCAGAGGTCGGGCCTTGCCCCCTCAATTGTGTGACTGGCCAGGAGGATGCCACGGGATGGCACATACCTTTTGGGGGTGGGCAAAGGAGAGCTGGGAAGAGGCCAGGTGTGGCCCGCACAGCTCTGGAGTCTCCCTGACCTGGCGCTTACCTCTCCCTCCTGCCTCCTGCACTCGCTCTGGGCATGCTGGCCTCCTTGCTGCTCCCCAGCCCCATGGAGCTCAGGTCACCCCAGGCACTAGATGTGCCCTCCCCCAAATGCCTGCACAGCTCACTCTCTCCCTGCCTCCCACCCTCTATTCAGAATGTTCCCCAACAGAGGAGTCTTCCCTGACCACTGTGTTTGAAAGGGGAAGCCCTTCCTCGACACAGCCACAGCCCCCACCCTCCCCTGCTTGGGGTTCCTGCCCCCCAGAAAACAGCCTTCCCCCGTCACCCCTCTCCTGGCTCCCCTGGTAGGACGCCAGCCTGGCCCTCTCTTGCTCCTCATGCACTAGCCCTGTGCCTACAGCAGGTCCAGACATACAGTGGGCATTCAGTGTGTGTTTGCTGACTGGATAGGCAAAGGCAGTCTGGGAGATTCCTGCAGAGGGGGGTCCCAGCATGCAGTGCCCTGGCCACCAAGGTCAACTTCTCTACAATGCTGGCTCCCAGGCTTCTTCCTGGTCTGTTTGAGGTGAGACCTGGCAGGTGGCATTTTTATTTTATTTTATTTTATTTTTTGAGACAAAGTCTCGCTCTGTCACCCAGCCTGGAGTGCAATGGTACGATCTCAGCTCACTGCAATCTCCACCTCCCAGGTTCAAGCAATTCTCCTGCCTCAGCTTCCCGCGTAGCTGGGATTACAGGTACCCACCCCTACACCCGGCTAATTTTTGTATTTTTAGTAGAGACGACGGTTTACCACGTTAGTCAGGCTGGTCTCGAACTCCTGACCTCATGATCCGCCCACCTCAGCTTCTCAAAGTGCTGGGATTACAGGCGTGAGCCACCCTACCCAGCCAAGCAGGCTGCATTTTTAACAAAGGCCTGGGGGTAAGGGCACCTTCGAGGGCAGGGAGCGTTTCTGTTTCATTGCACTGCAGGTGCTGCCCTATGCCCGCATGTTGGCCAAATTATCCACATGTCGCTCCTGGCTCCCAGATAATTGTGCAAGGTGCACCTTGAGGTAGACTCAGGAGGAGAGGACTCAAGTGTGGTGTTCTGTGGCTCCGCTTTGTTTTCTCCTGGAATGAAGACCACGCTGAACCAGGGTCAGGCTGCTGGACAGGCGGGCGGCTCCCAGCTGTTTGACTCAGTGCTGGCCACATGGCCAGGAGGGCCAGGGTCTGGGAGGCGACCCCTCTCCCTGCAAGGCTGCCCCTTCCACAGGAAACCCTAGAACCCAAGAAATCAGCACAGCCACGAGACTGGCAGCCCCTTCTCGGGATTTATTTTCCGAGTGGCTGGATGTTGCATCCTGAGTTCCTGATGGGATTTCTGGAGCAGGCACCTCCTCCCCACGTACACAGGAGGTGTCACCAGGCCCCACCCTGCCCCCACCCGCCAAGGCACATTTCTGCACCCACTGGGTTTCTCCCCATCCATCGGCTGCCAGTCTGTTCCTCCAAAGAAGGCCCAAGCCACGGATGTGGATAGCTGGGGAGAACAAGCCCATCTGGGAATGCCCCACCTCCCCGGCCCCCCGCACCCTCCCTCCCTAGCGCCAGCCCTGGCAGCGTCTCCAGCTCCCGGGTCATGCCCTAGTGCCAGAGTAGGCAGAGCCACTCAGAAATGGGGAAGCCCACCCCGGTGGGTGACCCACAGCCTCGGGCCTCAGCACAGCACACACTGCCCCACATAAGCAATGCCTCGTCCCCTCCAGGGACCCCAGGCAGGACCAGAGGCCTCCCACTCAGCCCACCTTTCCAGGGTGAGCGAGACAGCCCAGGGAGAGAATTTGCAGGGCAACCCCCACAGCCCATCCGACATGCTAACAATGCCCACACTCAGCCCGCCAAGCACACGGTGACATTCTGCCGGCTTCCTTGTTTACTGCCTGGCACCAAACATCCTTGGACTGGGTCCTACTGTGCAGTTCCTGAACCAGCTTTCCTATTCAGTTCCCCTTAGCAACCTTTTCCTGACCTTCGCCCAGGAGCCCAGCCCATGCTGGATACCTCATCCAAAGCCCGAGAAACCCCAGAGCTGGCTCCTGGGTGGGGCGATCAATCCCCAGAGGGAGGGCCACAGGGCAGAGGTGAGGGACTGCCCTGGGCAGTGGGTCCCCGCCCCGATCCAGGAGGCCCGATGCCAAGGGAAGTTTGGGGCTCTGGAAGATACAGGCAGGTCCCCCCGGTCCCAGGAAGCCTCCGTGATGGAAGCAGCAGGGCCACTGCCACGTCCCTTCCCAGCACCAGCAAGGGGATGACCTCAGGCTGGGCCTTTGAGCTCATGATGGTCCTTTTCCTATTGGTGATTTTTTAAAATCTGACGTAGGCTGGCGAGCTGGCTCATGCCTGTAATCCCAGCACTTTGGATGATCACCGAGCTCAGGAGTTTAAGACCAGCCCAGGCAGCATAGCAAAACCCCAGCTCTACAAGAAAGACAAAAGTTAAGCGGTCACAGTGGTGCATGCCTGTGGTCCCAGCTACTCGGGAGGCCGAGGTAGGAGGATTCACTGAGCCTGGGAGGTTGAGGCTGCAGTGAGCCATGATTGTCCCACTGTACTCCAGCCTGGGTGACAGGGCGATATTAGCCATAGATAAGTGAACATTCCCATTATTCAAGAGTCCAACACTGAGATTCAGAGCAAAATTTGGAATTCTGCCTTGGGCCCACTCCTGGCCTGGAGGTCACCCAGGGCCATGGAGGGTCCATCCCAAGGGGTCCTCTCATGCATCTACAGGTGGGGGCCGTGCAGGTGGGCTCACTGGAGGTGGGGCAGCCCAGACCTGTGCAGCTCAGCACAGGGGGCAGTGGGGTCCCCCCATTTGTGGGCTGTGGCTCACAGAGTGCTGACTGGCACTGGGCTCTCTTTGCAGTCATCCAGTTTGGCTTTGTCACCCTGTTTGTCGCCTCCTTCCCCCTGGCCCCGCTGTTTGCACTGCTGAACAACATCATTGAGATCCGCCTGGACGCCAAAAAGTTTGTCACCGAGCTCCGAAGGCCGGTGGTAGTCAGAGCCAAAGACATCGGTGAGTGACCCTGTGGGCTGGGGACCAGCTCCAAGGGTGCGCTCGGTTTGGGAGGGGGGTGCTGCTCTTCAGAAGCTAGAGCCAGAGCTGGCCAGGTGTCCCCACTGGGGCTCTTCACCTAGCCTTTCACAGGTAGAGCCTGGGGGCAGGTGACACAAGACCTGCAGGTCCCCACCCTCCCCTCCCACAATGCACTGGTCACAGAGGACGTGTGCAGAGTGAGTCCCAGACATCTGAATGTCTCCACAACCTGCTGCTTTAGGAGGTGCAAGAGACACATTTCCTTTCCAATGGCTGACAGCACCCACCTCTAGCAATTGTGAGACCCCAGTGCCAGGGCGAGAGCAAGGGGAAGGCAGTATCAGCCATTCAGCAAGTGCCCTCCTACGATGCATGTCATGGCATCATTTAATGTTCACAAAAGAGAAAAAGAAGGGCTGGGTGCAGTGGCATGTGCCTGTAGCCCCAGCTACTCGGGAGGCTGGGGTGGGAGGATCTCTTGAGCCCAGGAGTTCTGGGCTGTAGTGCGCTATGCCGATCGGGTGTCCGCACTAGATTCGGCATCAATATGGGGACCTCCCAGGAGCGGGGGACCACCAGGTTGCCTAAGGAGGGGGGGACCAGCCCAGGTCAGAAACAGAGCAGATCAAAACTCCCGTGCTGATCAGTAGTGGGATCGCGCCTGTGAATAGCCACTGCACTCCAGCCTGGGCAACATAGCAAGACCCCGTCTCTAAAAAAAAAAAAAAAAAAAAAAAAAAAAAAAAAAAAAAAAAAAAAAAAAAAAAAAAAAAGAGAGAGAAAAAAATGGAAGGAAGGAGCCCACATCTGTAGACAGGGGAGAACAGTCCAAGTCATCGCGAGGCTTGCCTTGGGGATCAAAGCCAAAACGCAGCTCAAGTCCAGCTTGCTGACCCGGTCACTCAGGCACCTTGATCGTGCAGAGGAGGAGTAGGGTTGGGAGAACGCGTATTTACGGGCATCGTAAAGGATAACTTTGGGCTGAGCACAGTGGCTTGCTCCTATAATCTCACTGCTTTGGGAGGCCAAGGAGGATGGATAGCTTGGGCTCAGGAGTTCAAGACCAGCCTTGGCAATATGGCAAAACCCTGTCTCTACAAAAAATACAAAAATTAGCCAGGCATGATGGTGCATGCCTGTAGTGCCAGCTACTCAGGAGGCTGCGGTGGGAGGATCCGTGAGCCCAGGAAGGTTATGACTGCAGTGAGCTATGCCCACGCCTGGGCAACAGAGTGAGACCCTGCCCCAAAAAAATAAGTAAAATTATCTGGATGTGGTGGCGCAGACTTGTGGTCCCAGCTACTTGGGAGGCCGAGGCAAGAGGATCGTGTGAGCCCAGGAAGTGAAGGCTGCAGTGAGCTGTGATTGTGCCATTGCACTCCAGCCTGGGCAAAAAAGAGAGACCCTGAGAAAAAGAAAGAAAGAAAAGGAGGGAGGGAGGGAGGGAGGGAGGGAAGGGAGGAAAAGAAAAATGATAACTTTGTAATAATCAGAGGTGTCAAAAACACAGCAGACTTCCTTGTGGGTTAGAGAGCTCCCTGTTACCAGAGGCATTTAAGCAGAGACAGGGTGACACTGTGTCCCGGAGGGTGAGGGACATGGGAGCCCCATGCAGGCCTCCACCAGAGCCAGCCCTCACAGGAAGGGTGAGCCTATCTTATCCTATAGTAGGACCCAATTTTCAGGGTGAAAACAAAATTACAAAAACACATGCATTTTATCTCAAATTTAACACAGTTTTAGTTGGCATAGCACCTTTGTACTAATTATTGGAATAAACGAAAGGTAGAATTATGTACTGGGGATTTCACCTTGCCGAAATAAAGATTCCACACCCGCGTGATAAGATAGTTTTGGGCTGGGCTTCTGTAGGCCAAACATCATCTTACAAAAATGCGGGAAGCTGGCGGGGCGCGGTGGCTCACGCCTGTAATCCCAGCACTTTGTGTGGGGCTGAGGTGGGCGGATCACCTGAGGTCAGGAGTTCGAGACCAGCCCGGCCAACATGGAGAAACCCATCTCTACTAAAAATACAAAATTAGCCAGGCGTGGTGGGCTCCTGTAATCCCAACTATTCAGGAGGCTGAGGCAGGAGAATTGCCTGAACCCGGGAGGCGGAGGTTGCAGTGAGCCAAGATCGCACCATTGCACTCCAGCCTGGGCAACAGAGCAAGACTCCATCTCAAAAAAAAAATAAAAATAAAAGTGTAAAAGGCCATTTTAGCTGGTGAGACAGGTGAGAAACAGGCCACCGAAAAACGGGCCACCATGACCATCTCTGCACGTCCGCTCTCAAGAGCCAGGTGAGACTGCACGCCGGCTGCGCCTAGGCATAGCACTGCTTTGAAGATCAGTGCCACAGAGCCGCCTGCAACATTAACTTTTCTCGGAAGCTCAGCCTGTTGTGTCCTCCTGGAGGAAGCCCGGGTAAATCCTCCCCAGTCCCACTTTCCCGATAGGAGACCGAGGCTCAGGTGGTAACAGGCCGACACCAGAGAGCTGAAGCCCTGGACCTCCTGCCTGCATAGAGAGTTTGCTTCTGAAAACCTCACGCTGCACACCAAAGACCCCAAAAGGGGAGCCCTGGGACAGCCCTCCAGGTGTGCCCTGCCGTCCTCGGAAATTCTGCAGCTCTCTGTCCCGTGGCAGTAAAGAAAAGAGTGGCCGGCTGGGCGCAGTGGCTCATGCCCGTAATCCCAGCACTTTGGGAGGCCGAGGTGGGTGAATCACGAAGTCAGGAGCTTGAGTTTGAGACCAGCCTGGCCAACATGGTGAAACCCTGTCTATACTAAAAATACGAAAATTAGCGGGGCATGGTGGCATACGCCTGTAGTCCCAGCTGCTCGGGAGGCTGAGGCAGGAGAATTGCTTGAACCGGGAGGTGGAGGTTGCAGTGAGTCAAGATCACACCACTGCATGCCAGCCTGGGCAACAGAGCAAGACCGATTCAAAAAAAAAGAAAGAAAAGAGTGTCATCCCATTCCAGCAGGTATAGCTAAAAGGAGAAAAGAAGGGAGCCACCCACACTGAGTCCTCACAAAGGCCTGAAGCTCGGGCACCTGACAGTACCCCCTGCCCCCGCCCCCTGCCACATCATGATGCACGTGTGTTTGCTCTGACACCCTCTGTTTCAAGAAGCTCTGGCTGTCCCCAGATGGTGGCTGGCTGAAGCTTGCAAACCCACCCGGTGAAAGAGCAGCAGCTGGGTGGCCCTGGCTTCCTGCAGCCCCTCCGCAGGCACTGGCATCCCCACCAGCACACGTGCCTCTTTGGACTTTTTGCCCCTGGCTCGCTTTGCCCAGTTCTTACGGATCAGCTACTCACTTCCTGGTTCCTGTCCGCTTGGCTGAAGGCATAATCTGCGGTCCTTCCACGCCTCTGTTTGTGAGTTCCTTAACCGTAACCTTTCCCTGAAGAGACTTTTGTATTCCATCTATGATCCGTGCAGGGGCCGCAGGCAAGCTCCTTGAGAGGACAGAGGGCCCCTGAGGCCCTTGTGACCTGCGCCCCTGGGGCCCTGGGTGGCTGGGAGAAGCCATGCCACAAAGCGCAGGTGCCTTGATCACCCCGCAGTCCGGCAGGTCTCAGCGGGGGCCCAGCCCATGCGTGGGAACCCGCTCCAGCTCCCCAGCTCTGGCTTCGACTTCCTGTTCTCCTCCTGGTTCTTCAGAGCCTGGCGGTGGGAAAGCGCAGCCGGCATTCCGCTCCCGGTCACTGCATGTGGGCAGAAGTGGTGGCATCGCCAAGCACCTGGCTTTATCTAAGTACCTCCCTGTTCTGTTCTGGGAAATGGGGCTTAGAGCCCCCCTAGAGTGGGAAAAATTCCTTGGGAAAGAAACCAAGGAATGTACTTGGGGAAGTAAAAATGAGGCAGTTTTCCCCAACAGGACTTTCGTAAAAGAAGCCCATCCAAAGAGTTTCCAAAAGCACAGCATCCCCTTTTACTGACAGATGTCTCAAGAGTCAAACTCTGTAAACTATTTGAAGAGATTTACTCTGAGCCAAATCTGAGTGACCATGACCCATGACACAGCCCTCAGGGGTCCTGAGAACATGGGCCCAAGGTGGTCAGGGCACAGCTTGGCTTCATACATTTTAGGGAGACATGAAATATCAATCAGATACATCTAAGCTACACATTAGCTTGGTCCAGAAAGGCGGGACAGGGTGGGGTCCCTTCCAGGTTATAGGTAAATTTTTTTTTTTTTTTTTGAGAAGGAGTTTTGTTCTTGTCAGGCTGGAGTGCAATGGCAAGATGCAACCTCCACCTCCTGGGTTCAAGCGATTCTCCTGCCTCAGCCTCCCGAGTGGCTGGGATTACAGGCGGGCACCACCACACTTGGCTAATTTTGTATTTTTAGTAGAGACAGGGTTTTACCATGTTGGCCAGGCCTGTCTCAAACTCATGGCCTCAGGTGATCTGCCTGCCTCAGCCTCCCAAAGTGCTGGGATTATAGTTGTGAGCCACCACACCAGGCTATTTTAAAAATTTTTGGTTGTCAGTTGCTTGAAAGAGTTCTTATCGATAGAAAGGAAAGAATGGGTTATGATATGGGCTGTGGAAACCAGGGTTTTATGACACAGATGAAGCCTCCAGGTAACAGGCTTCACAGAGAGGCTGTAAATGTTTAGCACACTGAAGGTTGTGTTGATGTTCACGCTGGTCAGCTTTTCCTGAATTCCAAAAGGGAGGAGGAGATAATGAGGCCTGTCCGACCCCCTCACCCCCACGCCCCGTCACAACCTGTCCGACCCCCTCACCCCCACGCCCTGTCACAACCTGTCCGACCCCCTCACCCCCACGCCCCGTCACAGCCTGAACCAGTCTTTAAGGCGAACTTGGGGGTGCCCTGGCCGAGATGATGGATTCCATTCCATGATTGGGGGGCTTAGAATTTTGTTTTTGGTTTACAGAGCTCCTCGGAGCAGTGAGTCTCACGCTGGAGTGTGTGTCGGACTAACTCGGGGTTCCCAGCCCCACCCCAGGAGAGGTAGATTCCGTGGGCTGGGTCTGGGGTCCTGGTTCTTCATTTCTCACTCAAACACACCCTGCCATGTGCAGGGCCACACGGAGAACTGTCTGCCTGGACACAGATATCCCCCAGACCCACCAGGACAGGTTCCATCCCGGCCCCTGAGGCAGGAAGACCCTGCTCCCAGCTCCGTCTCATCCCGCCTCACCTCTCCCATTCCCTGTGATCTCTCTGGGCCCGTTGGGCCATTCCCTGGGCAGACCTCCTTGCCTGCCTGAGTCCTGCCCTTCCACGGCCCCAAGCTCAGGAGCCACCTCCCTCGGGACCCCCACACCCAAAGACCTCAGCCCCTACCCCAGGCCCACCGCACCTCAGCACCCTGCCTGGGAGGCCTCAAACTCAGTGCGTCAGGGCCACGCGGGCTGCACTCACGTGTGAGACTAAGGCCTGGGACAGGTGATCATAACAGGCCCACTGGTGGCAGGGAGGGAGGTCCCTAGGAGGCCCCTGCAGACAGCAGAGCTGCGGTGCACGGCTCGGCCTGCAGGGGGCGCCCCTGGGCACCACAACCAGTTGCCAAGAAGACACCACCCAGCCAGGACCAGAGCCAAGGAGCGTCTCAGGATTTTTCATTTTTTTTTAGACAGAGTCTCTCTCTTTTGCCCAGGCTGGAGTGCAATGGTGTGATCTCGGCTCACCACAACCTCCGCCTCCCAGGTTCAAGCGATTCTCCTGTCTCAGCCTTCCGAGTAGCTGGGATGACAGGCACGCGCCACCACGCCCGGCTAATTTTTGTATTTTTAGTAGAGAAGGGATTTTGCCATGTTGGCCGGGCTGGTCTCGAACTCCTGACCTCAGGTGATCCACCCGCCTCAGCCTCCCAACGTGCTGGGATTACAGGCATGTGCCACTGCGCCCAGCCTCGATTTTTTAAAATACATTTTCCTGGTTTATAAGCACCAGTCTGTATTTTTAAGCAGTAGGCAAGCACAACAAAATGGCCATCCAGCCTCAACTGGGCCTGCCTGGACCGCTCTGCCGCCTCTGCTCCTGCGCCAGAGTCTGCTTGGAAAGGGCTTCCGGCGCTCATGCAGTCACTCAGCAAACATTTACCCAGCAGCCCCCACCCCATGTGCCAGACCCCAAGCTAGACACAGAGCTACAAGGATGTGCAACTCGCAGCCTGCCCTAGGAGCTCTGAGTCGAGCCCTCAGCCCTGACACCTGACCAGGAGAAGCTGGGCAGGAAGCGTTTCCACTCCCGAGGGAGTGCTTCACTGCTGACTTTGTAGGGCGGTGCCATCCAACCCTCACGTGCGTTCCCAGCTGCTTTCTTCAGGATGGGTAGCCCTAGGGCCGCTAGTGCGCAGAGCCCACGTGACTGCCCCACCACCTGCTCTGGCAGGAAAATAAAGTCAGGAGCGCTGCACTCATGCGAAAGACCACGCAGAGCTATAGTAAACTCCTCATCTGGGATTAGACGATGGCCCCTATGGCCCCAGGACTGGAGACAGGTGGCAGGGGGGTGTGACTGTCACTTCTCAAATTGCCTGCCAGCAATGGCTTGCAGTGGGTATTCTCTCTTTTCTTGAGACAGAGCCTTGCTCTGTCACCCAGGCTAGAGTGCAATGGCATGATCTCGGCTCACCACAACCTCCACCTCCCTGGCTCAAGCGATTCTCCTGCCTCAGCCTCCCGAGTAGCTGGGATTACAGGCGTGCGCCACCAAGCCCGGCTAATTTTTGTATTTTTAGTAGAGATGGAGTTTCGCCATGTTGGCGAGGCTGGTCTCAAACTCCTGGTCTCAAGTCATCTGCCCACCTCAGCCTCCCAAGATGCTGGGATTACAGGCATGAGCCGCCACACCCAGCCCGCAGTGGGGATTTCTGATTGATGATGATTGTGACTGTGGTCTCTCATTGAATTGGCACTGGCTGGGGCCAGGGGGCGAGAGAGCTTGCCTGGGAGATTTCACCTGAGCCCATGGTTTCTAGCTCTGGGCCACACAGGGGGCCTGAACCCTTGCTGCCTTTGCAGGCCACCAGCATGCGCCCCAAAAACAGGGACTGGGATTCTCCCCTCGGCTACTCAGGCAGAAGCACCATGTACAGCTCTCCCTGCAGCCCCCCGCACGGGTAGAAAGTCCACCTGCCCCATCCTGGCCCTTTCTGATGAGTGCTGGGTATCGCCCACCTCAGAGCCAGCCCAGGGCAAGGAGAGCAGACCCAGGACAGGCTCCCAACCCCACCGCTACGCACAGCAGTGCTGGGCATGGGAGGGCACAATCAGGGTGGGCAGGGGTCAGCCCAGGACATGGGACCATTTCCAGAATTGCAACACTGAGACCCTGCTTCCTGGACCATTGAGGCTTCCTTCCTGGGCCCTGCTAGTTCTCATGGCAGCTGGGAAGACGGATGGAGAGGCCACGAGTCCCCGGCGCTGTGTGGTGCTGCTCTTGTTCATCTGTGATGTGGTGCAACCCTGTGTCTTGGAGTTAAGAGAGCAAGGAGGTGTCCAGATGGGGAACGGCTCGATCTGCCCTGCTGTGGCCTCAGTGCCACCAGCCGGGGGCCTGGCCCTGTTCTTCAACTGCAAACCCATGTCTGGTCTCGCCCTAAATACAGGAATCCTCCAGCAGAGCTTTAGGAGCTCCACGCCAGTTGAATCTTTGACACTTTAGGGGGGGGAAAAAAAGGTTTCATCTAAGCCAATTAGTATTTAAACAGGTTCGTGGGGAGATCTGCAGAACCCCTCAGGGACCAGCTGTTTTTAAGCACCTCTTAGAGAAACTGGTGAGCTTGTCAGAAAGGCTGGTGCACGCCAGGCCCTGGCCCTGACCTGGCTTCCTCAGGACCTCAGCAAATGATTCCCGGTTGCCGTCAGCCTCTGACTGCTGTGAGAAGGAACAAGTCTGGCCCCTGAAAGGGTGGTACCCCTCAGGCTGCTGCCTGGTGGCTGCAGTCACTGAGAGTCTGGGGCGCTTTAAAACTGTGACGTTTTCTTCCCACAGGAATCTGGTACAATATCCTCAGAGGCATTGGGAAGCTTGCTGTCATTATCAATGTAAGTGACATCAGGGACCTCGGTGGAATGGAAGTCCTGGCTGAGCTGCCAGGCAGCCGGGGGCCCCTCCGAGAAGACGCTGGGCATAGATCTTCCACCTCCAGCCACGGTTCGGCCCCCAGCTGCCAGGATTCTTTAGTTATAAATGTCCCTTGACCACTTGGAGTCGGGGGGGTGGGCTCTGAGGAGGCACAGCAAATTCTCATCAACGTTTTTCTGCAAGTTTTTAATTTTTTTAATTTTTTTTCTGAGACAGAGTCTCACTCTGCGGTCCAGGCTGCAGCGCAGTGGCGCCATCTCGGCTCACTGCAACCTCCAAGTAGCTGGGATTACAGGCCCACACCACCACGCCCAGCTAATTTTTGTATTTTTAGCAGAGACAGGGTTTGACATGTTGACCGGGCTGGTCTCGAACTGACCTCAGGTGGTCCGCCCTCAGCCTCCCTCACAAAGTGCTGGGGTGACAGGCATGAGCCACTGCACCCAGCCTTTCTGCAAGCTTTGAGCAAAATTATTTACCTTGCCCACCTTGGCCCCTAAGTCCACTGAGAATAAGCAAGAGGCAGAGATAGGAAGGAAGACACAGAGGGAGACACAGAGATTCCTCACTGGTAATCTTTCTGTTCTCTTATTTAAAGAAAACAAAGTTGATTTTTCTCCTTAATCTAAAACATATGGCTGCTTTGTGGAGGTTTGGGAGATGCTGAAACAGAGCGAGAAATGAGCGCTTGTCAGCCTCACACACAGCTCTGCTGAGAATCAGCGCTCCAGGCCCCTCAGCCTCCTCCCCAGCCTGGCGGCCCCTTCGGGCCTCTCCTATCCCCAGGACTGCAGGCTAGGGTGGCCCGGCCCTCGGCCTTCCCCATCAGGGTCTGCCTGGCTCTGCCCATGGCCTGGATCTCCTGGGTTTAGCTGTGTCCAGCTGTCCCCAGCACATACTTCAAGCCCAAGGCTGTGTCCCAGGCGTGAGAACCCCAGGCAGCCACAGGGAGTCCACTGTCCCAGGGCCCCGTGGCTCTCATCCCTTCTATCCTCCAGCTGAGCCAAATCGTCCCCGCCGAAAGGTGACACTATGCACATGCGGGATGGTGGGGTGGCTCCCCAGGGCTGACAGTCAATGCCCTTGCAAGGCAGGATGCCAAGTCAGGGACTCAGCCCTGGAGAAGGGCCCCTCAGAGCCCTTGGACAGCGCCCTTTCCCAGCGGGCAACCCCTTCTGCCAGGCACGTGCTCCCACCAGATGATAGGGAGGCTGCAGGCAGAGTGTGCAAGCGGGGACGGCTCCTCACCCCACCCAGACAAGGGAGCGCAGGGCCCTGAGGCAGGGGCTGCGCTGTGCTGGGTTGTGAGGCTGGGAACAGAGGTGCATCCTCTCTGCAACAAGTGGGCGCCGTGAGCAGCTACAGAACACAGGGGCACCTCCTGAGGACAACAGCAGCGAGAACAGGCCGGGCGCGGCGCCTCACGCCTGTAATCTCCGCACTTTTGGAAGCTGAGGCAGGAGGATTGCTTGAGGCCAGAAGTTCAAGACCAGCTTGGCCAACATAATGAAACATAGTGAGACCTTGTCTCTCAAAAAAAAAAAAAAAAGATAACAGGTGACATTCATGAGGCACCTAGAATGTGCTAGACCCTGCTAAGCTCTTTCCACACACCAGCCCACGCGTCTGCACACAGCCCTTGGACGTGGGGACTGTTACGGCACCAGAGGCACAGAGAGGTTAGGTGATTTGCCCAGGGCCACACAGCTACGTGAGAGGTAGCCGCTGGGCCTCCGATTCCTCTTTTGTAAATGTACCAGCCGCAGCCGGGGCTGTAACAGAATGAGCTGGGGGAGGACCTGACAGCCTGCAAAGCACTTTCCCTTCCTGCCTCATTCCCTTCTCCAACAAGCCCAGAGCACTGCGCATACATGGTGTGGGTGTTGTTAGCCCTGTTTTGACAAGAAGAAAATGGAGGCACAGAGAGGTTGGGTGATTTGCCAGAGGCCACACAGCCAGCAAGAGGCTTCCAGCATCCACCTGGCACCTTCTCTTCTAGGAGTGTGCTGTCCCTGGCCCCCAGGTGCTCTCCTTCAGCTGCCAGGGGGCTGAGAGGAGCGCCCCCGACCCTGCATCCATTCCGTCCGCATGCCAAAGCTGTGCGGCTACAGTCCCCTCCAGGGGCAGCAGCACGTGGCCGGGGCCCAGTGTGGCTATGGATGGGTCACCCCTTGTTGCAGCCAGTCCTCCTGTGCCCAGTCTGGGGGTCCCCCTCACTGCCATGTCCCCTGCGCAGGCCTTCGTGATCTCCTTCACGTCCGACTTCATCCCACGCCTGGTGTACCTGTACATGTACAGTAAGGACGGGACCATGCACGGCTTCGTCAACCACACCCTCTCCTCCTTCAATGTCAGCGACTTCCAGAACGGCACAGCCCCCAACGACCCCCTGGACCTGGGCTACGAGGTGCAGATCTGCAGGTACTGCTCTCGAGCCCCCCTCTTTGAAAAGCCACGTTTAATGAGTTTCTGGGAGAGCCCGGCTTTGGGCGGGGCTCAAATCAGGGCAAGTCATGAAACAATTCAAACTTGCTTAAAAAGAGAGAAAAAAAAAAAAAAAAAAGGCTGGTGCAGTGGCTCACACCCGTAATCCCAGCACTTTGCGGGGGCCAGGCAGGAGGATCGCTTGAGCCCAGGAGTTGGAGACCAGCCTGAGCCACACAGTGAGACCCCCATCTCTGCAAAAAAATGTTTAAATAGCCAGGACTTGTGGCACACATCTGTAGTTCTAGCTACTTGGGAGGCTGAGGTGGGAGGATAAATTGAGCCTAGGAATTTGAGGCTACAGTGAGCTATGTCACATCACTGCAGTCCAGCCTGGGCAACAGAGTGAGACCCTATCTATAATTTCAAAAAATCGATAAAATGAATAAAAAGATGCCTGAGGGGAGGAAATTAGAGGTGATTTACCAGTTCCTATAACTAAGAAGCCCAGGATAGCTTCAGGCATGGCTGGATCCAGGAGCTACAGTTTACCATCAGGCTCCACTCTGGCACTGCCCTTCCGCTTTGATTTCCTCTGTCTGCATTGTTCTCTTGCTGGTGGAAAGGGTTCCCTGCAGCTCCTGGCTTATATCCTCTCTGCTCTGCAGCCCCTGTGGGAAGATCTCCTGTTTCCCAGTAGTCAGCAAACGTCCAGGGACTCAGTCTTACTGGCCCATCTTGGGTCAGATGTCCATTCCTGAACCAACCACTATTGCCACCAGGAGGAGGGCTCATCTTGGCTTGGTCTGGGTCACGTGCCAGGGTGTGAAGTCATAGAGAATTGGGGGGTCCTAAGAAAAACTGAGGTGCTGTGACTTGAAGAGGAGACAGGTGCCAGCAGACAAAGCCTTGAGCACAGAGTGAAGAGGGACGAGCCGGCACGTGTGGCTTCTGACACTGGGAGGCCAGGGCTGCTCGTCCCCGTGGGAAAACGGGTTATGCAACTTCTCCCTGGCCCAGCAGCTGGCACCAGAGCCATGGCCCAGCCCGATCCCATCTCAGGGTTTGGCAGCACAGTGCTGAACAGGCCCTCGGAAACTCCCATCCAGCTTCCTCCAGAAATCAAGCTCCGCAGGAAAGGGCCCTATCTGTTGGCCATCCCCCGGAATTCTCCATCCCTGGAGTGGGGTCTGGCACATAGTAGTTGGTCAATAAATGCTTATGACACGAGGAAGTGAGGGAATGCCCAGACTGAGGCCCAGAGAGGTCAAGTGATTACCCAGGGGACACACAGCAAGGGGGTAGTTTGAGAGGGCGAGCACCAGGGATGAGGGTCCAGGCCAGGGCTATGCCTGCAGAGCCAGCTGGTTCCTCTCCTGGCCTCCCTGACTGACCTTTTAGTGACCAGCAAGGGCACACCTGCAGCTCAGCCTCCAGCAACGCTGCCCCTAGTGGGGGCATTTCTGTCCAGCTTTGGGAAGCTTTTCCAATGCAGGGTGGGGATGTCAGCTCCACTCAAGCCGAGTTCCAGCTGGTGTGTGGCATGCCCCAGGTTTGGGAGCTGTGGAGGGAGGGAGGCCCTAGGCGGAGACCTCACCCTGCTCCCACAGACCCTGGGCATCTCTGGGTCTCTGCGAAAAGAGGAAGGGGCTGGGGAGAACAGAAGCACGCGAGCAGCGTCACGAACGGGGTGAGCCTCCCTCCTGAAGCTCCAGTCATTTCCATTGAAGAGCCAAGGTCAGTGGCAGGACCTCGGGGGAAGGGGCGTGAGTGAGCTGGACCCTCCAAGCCCGGAATCCGTCCGCTACATCGAACTAAAGCTGGTAACTTGAGAGCCAGGGCAGCCCGTGTTCTTTAGAGATAAGGAGGTGAGGCAGTGCAGCAGCCCCAGAAGAGGAAGAGGAGAAGCCGCCCCAGACCTGGGTGGGGCGGGCCGGGCCGGGCCGGCTGCCTGACAGGCCCCTGCCTGCACCAATAATATGCTTAGCTTCGTTCTTCTGCAAACGTTTGATAAACTGTTTGTTACCTTGATCGAATGTTCAGGGTTTTGTTTTGTTGGGTTTTTTGGTGTGTTGTTTGGTTTGCATTTTCTTTTTTTCCTTTTTGAAACAGAGTCTCACTCTGTCACCCAGGCAGGAGTGCAGTGGTACAATCTCGGCTCACTGCAGCCTCTGCCTCCCGGGTTCAAGCGATTCCCCTGCCTCAGCCTCCCGAGTAGCTGGGACTACAGGCACCCACCACCACACCCAGCTAATTTTTGTATTTTTAGTAGAGACCATATTGTTCAGGCTGGTCTCGAACTCCTGACCTTAGGTGATCTGCCCACCGACACCTCCCAAAGTGCTGGGATCACAGGTGTGAGCCACTGCACCCAGCCGGGTTTGCTCTTTGTAGAAATAGGGTCTCACTTTGTGGCCCAGGCTGAAGAGCAGTAACATGTTCAAAGCTCACTGTAGCCTCAACCTCCAGGGCTCAGGTGATCCTCCCACCTCAGCCTCCCGAGTAGCTGGGAATACAGGCGTGCACCACCATGCCCGGCTAATTTTTGTATTTTTGTAGAGGCAGGGTTTTACTGTGTTGCCCAGACTGACCTCTGACTCCTCAGCCTGAGATGACAGTGCTGAGGTTGCAGGCACGAGCCACCACACCTGGCTGATAAGGTGCTAACAGTTTTTCCTTCAATAGTTTCCCTCAAAGAGGGGATGGACTGGAGAGGTGGTTTTCAAACTGGGTTCCATGGAACCCATCCTGGAGTTCTGTGGAGCATGGGGGTTGGGTTGAGGTTCCGGGGGTTCAAGCTCGGGGAACCCCCACCACTTCAACCCAGTAGGCCCTGCACTCTTGGGGCCCTATGGGAGTTGCCAGTGAGATTTCTTTTGGGAACAAAGGGTCCAGTGCTTTTAAAAGTTTGGAATCAGGCTGGGCGCGGTGGCTCAAGCCTGTAATCCCAGCACTTTGGGAGGCCGAGGCAGGTGGATCACGAGGTCAAGAGATCGAGACCATCCTGGTCAACACGGTGAAACCCCGTCTCTACTAAAAATACAAAAACATTAGCTGGGCATGGTGGTGCGTGCCTGTAATCCCAGCTACTGAGGAGGTTGAGGCAGGAGAATTGCCCGAACCCAGGAGGCGGAGGTTGCGGTGAGCCGAGATCGCGCCATTGCACTCCAGCCTGGGTAACAAGAGTGAAACTCCGTCTCAAAAAAAAAAAAAAAAAAAAAAGTTTGGAATCAGCCAGGCACAGTGGCTCACGCCCATAATCCCAGCACTTTGGGAGGCTGAGGCGGGTGGATCACAAGGTCAGGAGATTGAGACCAGCCTGGCCAATATAGTGAAACCTTGTCTCTACTAAAAATAAATAAATAAATACAAAAATTAGCCAGGCATGGTGGTGGGCGCCTGTAGTCCCAGCTACTCGGGAGGCTGAGGCAGGAGAATTGCTTGAACCCGGGAAGCAGAGGTTGCAGTGAGCTGAGATGGTGCCACTGCACTCCAGCCTGGGCCACAGAGCGAGACTCTGTCTCAAAAAAAAGCTTGGACTCTCCTGGTCCACATGGTCCCCGCCCTTGATTCTGTGAGCCCACGGCTGGGCCTCGGGAATACTTCCTGCCACACGTGTTTTACACGAAGCCTGTCAGGTCCTGCCTGTTCCATGGGGGGTTCTGCCCACCCCCCTCCACTGTGGAGAGAGACTCCCTGGGTGCAGGGCCACGGGCTGCTTGCCCAAGAGAGGGCTGCCTGCCTGGAGGCAGCCACACACCAAGCTGAGCCTGTCCGGGCAGCCTTCGAGCTGCCTGGCTCTGGCCAGAGCTGAGCCCCGCCGAAGCCCCACCCTCCACTCTGCCACCATCTTTTGCAGGTACAAAGACTACCGAGAACCCCCTTGGTCGGAAAACAAGTATGACATCTCCAAGGACTTCTGGGCCGTCCTGGCCGCCCGGCTGGCGTTTGTCATCGTGTTCCAGGTGTGGTGGGTCCCTCTGGGTTTCCGGTTTGGGGATGGAGGCGCTGAGGGGCCACGCTGTGCCCACAGTCTGGAAGGCAGGAACTGCCAGAGCCACGGGTTCAGAGGCTCCTCCAGAGGCTTGGAGAACTTGCTCTGGGACACCCGAGAAGGGGACCTGGCCGGCCGCAGGCCCCCTGCACCCACAGGGCCCAAGACAACTTCATGAGAGAGGAAGGCAAAGAGAGGGGCCGGATGAGTGCCGGCAGAAGGGTTCAGACTCACTGGTGGGTTTAATCCAGTAGAAGTTTCTTTTTTTTTTTTTAGCTGGAGTTTCACTCTTTGTCGCCCAGGCTGGAGTGCAGTGGCACCATCTCGGCTCACTGCGACCTCTGCCTCCCGAGTTCAAGCAATTCTCCTGCCTTAGCCTTCCGAGTAGCTGGGATTGCAGGCACCTGCCACCACACTCGGCTAATTTTTGTATTTTTGCTAGAGACAGGGTTTCACGGTGTTGGCCAGGCTGGTCTTGAACTCCTGACCTCAGGTGATCCACCCGCCTCGCCCTCCCAAAATGCTGGGATTACAGGCGTGTGCCACTGGAAGATTCTTCACTGAACAAGACAGGGGCCTGGCGTAGTGGCTTGCACCTATAATCCCAGCACTTTAGGAGTCCGAGGCAGGCGGATCACCTGAGGTCAGGAGTTCGAGACCAGCCAGGTGCCAACCTGGTAAAACCCTGCCTCTACTAAAAATACAGAAATTAGGTGGGTGTGGTGGTGCACACCTGTAAGTCCAGCTACTTAGGAGGCCGAAGCAGGAGGATCACTTGAACCCAGGAGGCAGAGGTTGCAGTGAGCTGAGATCTCGCCACTGCACTCCAGCCTGAGCAACAAGAGTGAAACCCTATCTCAAAAAAAAAAAGCAAGAGAGAGACGTGGAGAAAGGGGCCCCCACCTCTGTCCCCCTCTCGTTCTCACACCACGTCTGTGGTAGCAGGCAGAGCCAGGACAGACAGGAGAGCAGTGGGCTCTCAGGTGACCCCAGACATAGCCAGCAGCCATGGGACCCAGCCCCCACTGACCCAGCCTCTGGGGAAGGGTCTGAGCCAACTTTCTGAAGCCAGAGGGACTCCCAGTGGAGCAGACCCCAGACTGAGGTCCTGGTGGGGGCACCCTGGGCTGTGGGTTCTGCTCACTGGTGTGCCTCTAACCTTGATTAAGTTGATGCTAGGGAGTCAGTAGGCCAAGAGCTCTGATTCTGGAATCCCCAGGACTGGGTTCAAGTCCCAACTCTGTCACAGGGCAGCCCCTTCCACTCCTCTGAGCTCAGCGGCCTCATCTGTCAGCTTTTCACAGCAAGCAGTGCAAAAGGTGTGTGGGGCTGCATTCCGCAGACCAGAGCCTGAGGGCTCAGCAAGGAGGGGTCTCGGCCAGAAACAGCCCGGCCTCATCCCAAGGGAGCCCCGGAGCATACATGGCACCCCAGACCTGGCTTCACCTGGAGGCAAGGCAGCCCCAGATGGGCCGGTCACTGCTTGGGCTGTCCAGGCTGGGAAGAGGGAGATATGAGGGGCATACGTTCTGCAGCTGTAAGCATGAGCAGCCAACCCCAGCCACAGCTGGCGCCTGGGAGCGCCAACCAGGAGAAGACACCATTCGAGGTGGCACGCAGGAACCTGCTCAGCCGAGGGTGCCCACACATGCTTGCTGGACAGGCATTCAGCAAACAACAAGGTTCAGTTTCTCGGGCAAGGCGCGGTGGCTCACGCCTGTAATCCCAGCAGTTTGGGAGGCCGAGGCGGGTGGATCACGAGGTCAGGAGCGCAAGACCAGCCTGGTCAAGATGGCGAAACTCCATCTCTACTAAAAATACAAAAAATTAGCCGGGCGTGGTGGCGCGCGCCTGTAATCCCAGCTACTCAGGAGGCTGAGGTGGAGAACTGCAAAAACCCAGGTGGCGGAGGTTGCGGTGAGCCGAGATTGCGCCACTGCTCTCCAGCCCGGGCAACGGCAAGACTCCATATAAAACAAAATTCAGTTTTTCCATAAAAACTGACTTATGCTGCCTTCTATCCACCAGAAAGGTCTCCATGGAGGAGGTAGATGTTCAGGGGACCCCGGGAGGCTTCGCAAACTGTAAAAGTTTGATCCATTTGCGGTTATTTCTAGTTTTCTGCTTTTCCCCAAAGCCTCAATGCTTGTTGGATTTGGCCATGCGCGACCCATCAGGTCACTTCCTGAGTCTCCTGGTCAAGGAGTTCAGAATGACTCAGATAATTTTCCCACGATAACTGAGTTCAGATTTGCTCAAGAAAGTCGGCCAGCATTTCTCAAAGGCCTGCCGGGTGGTTCTGAGCCTCCTTCATACCTGCTGGGAAACTGAGGCCCAGGGAGGTCAAAGAGCCAGGAAGTCACAGGGTGGCACCCCACCAGGTGGGGGCCAGGCAGAGAGGTGGGGGGCACTTCCCCAGGTGCCATCCTCCTCCCTGCTGCCATGCGCTGCCCTCCTCCTTCCAGAACCTGGTCATGTTCATGAGTGACTTCGTGGACTGGGTCATCCCGGACATCCCCAAGGACATCAGCCAGCAGATCCACAAGGAGAAGGTGCTCATGGTGGAGCTGTTCATGCGGGAGGAGCAGGACAAGCAGCAGCTGCTGGACACGTGGATGGAGAAGGAGCGGCAGAAGGACGAGGTGCCGTGCAACCACCACGACCCCAAAGCCTGCCCCGACAGCCTCGGCAGCCCAGCCCCCAGCCAGGCCTACCACGGGGGCGTCCTGTAGCTCACCAGCGGGGCTGGGCAGGCCAGCCGGGCATCCTGACCGACAGGCACCCTCTCCCAGGGCAGGCGGCTTCTGGCTCCCACCAGGGCCCGGAGGCTCCTGGGTTTTCTGCAAACATGGGGGACCACTTTCTAATAGGACATTTGCCTTTCTTCTTTCTGTTTTCTTTCCCTTATTTTTGCACAAAGCCATTAGGCCAGGAATTTTTTTCAATCTGTAGTTTTCAAGGTGAATCAAAATGATGGCTGGTAATAAAGCAATAAAGTAGCAAAGGCAGGTGCTTTGCAGAAAGAATGCTTGGAAACTCGAGTCTCCCTGGCGGCGAACAGTGAGCAGAGGCCCCTAGAAACCCTCCTTTCAATCCTCCTAACCCCTTAAGATAGATGCGAAATGGTAAGCCAAGGCATCGGGCAAAAGCTGGTGCGAGGCTTCAGGGAAAATGGAAAAAGCAAGAAAGAATAATGATGGATTCTGGTTCCAAAAGGTGTCACCTGCCTGTTTCAGAAAAGCTAGACTTTAAATCACCTTTTCCTTCCTCAGTTCAGCGGCTGAGGCACTCTGGGCAGAGCGAGAAGTGCCCCAGCGCTGACCGCACGGGGCGGGGAGCATCCCAGCTATTCCTGGAAAGCTGGAAGTGGGCACAGGTGTCCTTGACTGGGCAGGAACCAGCACCCTTGGCGTCCCCGGCAGGCCTCGCTGTCAGCCACACACCTGCCGCGTGGCACCAAGCTGACCTCAGAGCTGTTCATCTTCCTTACGCAACAAAACTGACCAGAAAATGGGCAGGGAGAGATGACCCCGGAAGCATTTCCACAGATGGCGTCAGGGTTTTGAGAAGTCTTACGACTTCCCGGGATCCCCTGGAAGCTTTAGAATATTCATGGTTTGGTTTGGTTTGGTTTGGTTTGGTTTTCAAAAATCAATTATGTGGTAGATTAAGGATATTTTTTCTGTAGCTCAAAGGTGGAGGGAGTTTATTAATTAACCAAATACCATTGAGAGAAATTTAAAATACTGTTACTACCAAAGATTTTTATTAATAAAGGCTTCTATTTTGGTAACACTTCTCTATATTTTTACTCACAGGAATGTTGCTGTTGACAATTATTTTAAAAGTGTATAAAACTGAGTCTCATAAATTACCTGAGTGATCTAAATCTGCAGCAACGATACTAAACAACTCTGAAATTTCTCAAGCACCAAGAGAAACATCATTTTAGCAAAGGCAAGGAGGCAAAACATAAACATATTTGTCTTGAACACCTCATTGATGTGATGTTGACGCTCCCGCTAATCTGCCAACTGTGATCAAAGTTTGTGGGTGTTGTAGATTTCCATTATTTGCTAAAATCATGCAATCTGATGCTTCTCTTTTCTCTTGTACAGTAAGTAGTTTGAAATGGGTTTTGTATATAAATATTGTGTTAAAAAAGTAGGCGATTACCAAAAATCCTTTTATGGAAACCGTTTTTTTAAAAGTGAATGTACACAAACCCACAGAAGACTGTGGCTGGACATTCATCTAAATAAATTTGAGTATATGACACTTTTCTCACTTGAATGCTGTCTGTGTGACGTCCTCCCAGGAACCTCACAGGCCGTCCCCAAAGTCCAGTGCAAACTCAGCACCAACTGACAGGCATCTCTTTCCTGTGGTGCCAGCATGTGGGTTGCTCTAAACGTTCTTGGGACTTCGTCTCTCTGGGAGTGTGTGCATTTGTGCTGCACACGTGTGTGCTTATTCATTTGCATGTGCTTTGCATTTACCATATGCACACGTTTGCATTTCCTGTGTGCATGTGCCTGTGTGTTTACATGTTGGTGTACATCACACGTGTGTATTCATTTGTATTTGCTTGTATGTGCATATGGGTGCAAGTGTTTGTGCATGTCCACATGTATGCACATATGCATACATGTGCATCGGTCTGCGCATGCACGTGTGTATGCAGTGTGTGTGTGCCTGTGAATGCATGTGTTTATGTGTTTGCATGTTTGTGTATTATCCATTCTCACACTGCTATAAAGAACTACCTGAGGCTGGGCACGGTGGCTCATACCTGTCATCCCAGCACTTTGAGAGGCCAAGGTGGGTGGATCACTGGAGGTCAGGAGTTTGAGACCAGCCTGGCCAACATGGAGAAATCCCATCTCTATTAAAAAAAAAAAAAAATTATCTGGGCATGACCTGTCATCTCAGCTACTCGGGAGGCTGAGGCAGGAGAATCGCTTGAACCTGGAATGTGGAGGCTGCAGTGAACCGAGATCGCGCCATCGCACTCCAACCTGGGTGACAGAGGAGACTCCATCTCAATAAAATATAAATAAATAAACAGAACTACCTGAGACTGGCTAATTTATGAAGAAAAGAGGTTTAATTGACTCACACCTTTGCATGCTTAACAGGAGGCATGACTGAGAGGCCTCAGGAAACTTAATGATCAAGCCGGAAATTGAAGGGGAAGCATATACGTTTTCACAATGGCCGAGCAGAAGAGAACAAGGGGGGACGTGCCACACTTCCAAGCCATCAGATCTCGTGAGAACTCACCCACTACCACGAGAACAGCATGGGGGAAAGGCGCCCCGTGATTCAGTCACCTCCCACCAGGTCCACCCTTGACACATGGGGATTACAATTCAACATGAGATTTGGGCCGGGTGCCGTGGCTCATGCCTGTAATCCCAATACTTTGGTAGACTGAGGCGGGTGGATCACGAGGTCAGGAGTTCAAGACCAGCCTGGCCAACATGGTGAAACACTGTCTCTACTAAAAATACAAAAATTAGCTGGGTATGGTGGTGCGTCCCTGTAATCCCAGCTACGAAGGAGGCTGAGGCAGGAGAATTGCCTGAACCATGACCCGGTAGGTGGAGGCTACAGTGAGCTGAGATCTCGCCACTGCACTCCAGTCTGGGCTACAGAGTGAGACTCTGACTCAAAAAAAAAAAAAAAAGATGTGAGATTTGGGTGTGGACATAGAGCAAAAACATGTCAGTGTGCATCACCCCAGTGTTCACAAATGTTTGCCTTAGCCTGTGTTTGTATGTGCATATGTGCTGTGTGTGTGTACATATGTGCTGTGTATGTGCATATGTGCTGGTGTGTGCATATGTGCTGCCGTGTGTGCACGTGCTGGTGTGTGTGCATATGTGCTGGTGTGTATGCACATATGTGCTGGTGTGTGTGCACATATGTGCTGATGTGTATGCATATGTGCTGGTCTGTATGTGTATATGTGCTACTGTGTGTGCATATGTGCTACTGTGTGTGCATATGCGGTGTGTGTGCATATGTGCTGGTGTGTGCATATGTGCTGGTGTGTGTGCATATGTGCTGGTGTGCGTATGCATATGTGCTGGTGTGCGTGTGCATATGTGCTGGTGTGTGTGTGCATATGTGCTGGTGTGTGTGTGCATATGTGCTGGTGTGTGTGCATATGTGCTGGTGTGTATGCAATGTGCTGGTGTGTGTGTGCATATGTGCTGGTGTGTGTATATATGTGCTGGTGTGTATGCATATGTGCTGGTATGTGTGGATATGTGCTGGTGTGTGTGCATATGTGCTGTGTGTGTGCATATGTGCTGGTATGTGTGCATATGTGCTGCCGTGTGTGTATATGTGCTGTGTGTGTGCACATGTGCTGGTGTGTGTGCATATGTGCTGGTGTTTGTGCGCATATGTGCTGATGTGTATGCATATGTGCTGGTCTGTATGTTCATATGTGCTACTGTGTGTGCATATGTGCTGGTGTGTGTGCATATGTGGCAGTGTGTGTGCATGGGTGCTGGTGTGTGCGCATGTGTGCTGGTATGTGTGTGCATATATGGTGGTGTGTGTGCATATGTGGCAGTGTGTGTGCATGGGTGCTGGTGTATGTGCATGTGTGCTGGTATGTGTGTGCATATATGGTGGTGTTTGTGCATATGTGGTGGTGTGCATGTGCATATGTGCTGGTGTGTGTGCATATGTGCTGGTGTGTGTACATATGTGCTGGTGTGTGTGCATGTGTGCTGGTGTATGTTTGTGCTGCCATGTGTGTATATGTGCTGGAGTATGTGCATATGTGCTGGCATGTGTGTACATGTGCTGGCGTGAGCGTGTGCATATGTGCTGGTGTGTGTGCATGTATGCTGGTGTGTGTGTGCTTGTGTACATGCACACGTGCCGTGTATTCCTTCTGTGTGTGTGTGTGTTGGGTTGGGGGATTGTGGTCACACTTTCTCAGCAGGGTCTTCCCAGATCCCCATATCTCAACCTCTAATCCCACAACCCAGCAGACTAGTATTCAGGATTTCACGGACCCTAAATTTCCCCAAAACCTTTTTGGACTGACCTAGGGTTGCCAATGTTTTCATCTGGGCCAGTGGGGATTTTTTTTAGAACCACCACCTATAATCACTATCACTTCATAAAAGAATGTGTGTGTGTGTGTGTGTGTGTGTGTATATATATATATTTTTTTTTTTGAATAAGATGAGGTTTCACCATGTTGGTCAGGCTGGTCTTGAACTCCCAACCTCAGGTGATTTGACAGCCTTGGCCTCCAAAGTGCTTGGATTACAGGTGTGAGCCACCACACCCGGCCAAGAATGTATATTTTTAACACCAAAATGTCAGCAAGGTAGCACTGGGCTTCGGGCTGGGGACGCTGTCCTTGTGCAGCCCTCGGCCTGGCCCACCTTCCTCTCACTGCCGGGACCAGGCAGGGCCTCTTCCCGCCTGCGGCAGGCATCAGGCGCCCCCTCGTGCTGGCTCTCCTCAGCACAGCACCTTGCCACCTTGGTCGGGGCAGCCTCCTAAAGCTTAGGCCCCACTTCCTGGATCCTGTAGGGAGGGCCCCGGGAGAATGGCACCCCAGGATCGGCACCGCAGGAACCCCTTCCCTCTGCCCTCCGGTCTCTGTGGGTCCTCTCAGAGCCTGGGAGGGCACAGGTGGGGACCTTCAGCCACATCTGAGAAATGAAGAAACAGGCTCTTCACCAAGCTTTAATGCCAAGTCTGAAGGCCAGACCTCATAAACATGTAGAACATTCAAGAAACATTTATTGAACTCCTGTAGGCCAAGTGCAGTGGCTCATGCCTGCAATCCCAGCACTTTGAGAAGCCCAGGCAAAAAGATTGCTTAAGCCCAGGAGTTCCAGACCAGCCTGGGCAACATAGCAAGACCCTATCTCTGAAAAAAATAATCAAAGTAGCTGGGCATGGTGGCAACCACCTGTGGTCCCAGCTACTCGGGAGAATGAGGTAGGAGAATCGCTTGAGCCCAGGAGGTCAAGGCTGTGGTGAGCTATGATTGCATCACTCCACTCCAGCCTGGGCAAGAGAGCAAGACCCTGTTCAAAAAAATAAAAATTAGACCAGGCACAGTGGCCCATGCCTGTAATCCTAGCACCTTGGGAGGCCAAGGTGGGTGGATCACCTGAGACCAGAAGTTCGAGACCAGCCTTGCCAACAAAGTGAAACCCAGTCTCTACTAAAAATATATATACCAAAAAATAAAAATAAAAATGAACTCCACTGTGTGTCAGGCACTAGGAAGAAAAGGGTGAAGACCGAGGACGCAGCCCCTTCCCTCCCAGATGACATTCTCTCACAGGAAGGCAAATGCTGAACCGGAAACCCAACAGTGGAACCAGACAACTTCGGACAAGGGGGTGCTGATGAAAACAGAGCAGGGAGTATGCCTGACTGAGGGTGACGACGCTGTGCCAGAGGCCCCGGACCTGAGCAGCCAGGAGCCAGAAACACGCAACAGAGGGACCAGCAGGTGCAGAGGCCGAAGCAGCACCCGCTGGATGAGCTCCAGGAGCAGAGGGGCAGAGAGGCAGCAGGAGACGCTGGAGAGGTGGCTAGAGCCAACTCATGCAGGGCTCTGGCTGAGTGGACGCTTTGAACTTGGTGGTAGGTGCCATGGGCAGGGCTGGGCAGTGTCTATGAGGGCAGTGATGGGAGCTGATGTCCATTTGAGGTCACGGCCGCTGTAGGGTGGAAACTGCAGCCAGTCCCACTGTTACACAGACGGGCACAGGAGGCTCGGAGAGGCGCAGGGCCCCACTGCAGCCATCCATAAGCTGGAGGCACGCCAGCCCTCCGCCCCAGAGACCTGGTGCAAAGAGTCTCCTACTACTGGTCCCTGGAGTTGCGTGGCTGGGTGCAGGGTTGGGGGCAAGCCCAGCGGGCCCTGAGGTCTGAGGGCACCAGCTGCACCCCGGAGCCCGGCAAGGACACACTGGTGTCTGGCCACGAGGGTTCTGCCACTCTCCTCTGAGGGTGGAGGCTGACCACGAATAGCATCCAGCCCAAGACGACTGCTGTTTGGTAGGCTCGGCATTTGTTAACTTCTGAAGTTAACTTAATGCATAAAAGCCCGGCATTTAAAGCCCACATTTGCGTGTTCTCCTGAGAAATCACACCTGCTGCTGCACAGCCCTCAGGTCACGTTCTCACATTCGACCGCAGCCCGGTGGGGCCTGGCCTGCCTAAGATGGTGCCTGTGCTCGCCAGTCTCTCCACCCTCCCAAACATGCCTGCCCACTGGCTCC